AAGTTAGAGATTAAACATGAGATTAACGCGATCAAAAAACATAGCGCGTTAAATATGGCTGTAATTAATATTCGCAATTAACGCGATAATTTGACACCCCTAATTAAACCTCCCCTAAAAAAGCCCACCCTAGATCCAGAGGTGTTAGCCAACTATAGACCAATATCTAATCTTCCCTTTCTTTCAAAGATCCTTGAGAAAGTAGTCACAGACCAGCTGTGTGACTTTCTCCACGATAACAATTTATTAGAAGAATTTCAGTCAGGATTTAGAGTGCATCTTAGCACTGAGACAGCACTAGGTAAAATTACAAATGATCTTCTGATTGCTTCAGACAAAGGACTCGTTTCGGACTGTTTTCTTAGACCTTAGTGCAGCATTTGACACAATTGACCATCAAATTCTGCTACAGAGACTGGAACACTTAATTGGCCTAAAAGGCTCTGCACTAAGCTGGTTTAAATCTTATTTATCTGATCGTTTTCAGTTTGTTCACGTTCATGATGAATCATCCTTACGTACTGAAGTTTGTTTTGGAGTTCCACAAGGTTCTGTACTCGGACCAATCCTATTTACTCTATATATGCTTCCTTTAGGTAACATCATTAGAAATCACTCTGTAAATTTCCATTGTTATGCGGATGATACACAATTGTATTTATCGATGAAGCCAGAAGAAACTAATCAATTAACTATCAATCAATCAATCAATCAGTCAATTTTATTTATAAAGCCCAATATCACAAATCACAATTTTCCTCACAGGGCTTTACAGCATACGACATCCCTCTGTCCTTAGGACCCTCACAGCAGATAAGGAAAAACCTTTAACGGGGGAAAAAAACGGTAGAAACCTCAGGAAGAGCAACTGAGGAGGGATCCCTCTTCCAGGACGGACAGACGTGCAATAGATGTCATAAACTTCACAATTACGTAAAAGACATAAAAACCTGGATGAGCACCAATTTCCTTAAGATAAATTCAAACAAAACTGAAGTTACTGTTTTTGGCCCCAAACAACTCAGAGACTCTTTATCTGATGACATAGTTTCTCTAGATGGCATTGCTCTGGCCTCTAGCACTACCGTAAGAAACCTCGGAGTAATATTTGATCAAGATTTGTCTTTTAATTTTCATTTAAAACAAACCTTACGCTTACTGGCTTGATCGTGCAGAGATAATGTTTGTGGTTGACCTCATCAGGGAAGACAGAGAGGAAGGAGAAATATTCTCTGTATATTGAACGACAGTGATTTAATAAGACACTACCGGCTTGATCGTGCAGAGATAATGTTTGTGGTTGACCTCATCAGGGATGAGCTTACTTTTCCCACCTAGCGTAGTAATGCAATAACGCCCGCTTTGGATTGCAGCACTACCAATGCTTCTCACACTCATCGCTTGTGCGTAAAAGGAGAGGGAACGACGCATTGATTTGTCGGGCAATGCGGTCCCAAGTCTGCCTCTTCCCTTGTGCCATGATCCCGGGATCGAATTTCCCTCTTAAAACTCCTATGTTCTCCTCCACGAGCTGTGCCAACAGCAGGCACTGCTCTTCTGTCCAGTTCGGCTTTCTCGTTCTTTTTCCTCCATTTCGTTCGTTGTTTTGGTCATTCTGCCAAATCAAACCGCTTTTTACAAGGAGGTCAGCAATCACAGTGATTGCTGACAGCTGAGTCTGCGTCCACCATTAATATCAAATAGATTAAGTAGTAAAATTACCAACATGGTGAGTAAAGATAACAATAAGCAAATCAATATAATAATCGGCATGTGAATGAGGTATGTTCAAACATTTTGAAGCTGTGTAACAATTAAGTTTCATCATCATGACATAAAATTATTTTCACGATTACACATTTCTTAATACAGTCTAAGTTCTATGATCGGTTGATTTCACTGTCCATTCATTACTAGGAGCGCATTTGTTTTTCTTTTTTTTTCTTTTTTTTCCCCCTTTTTGTAACAACCAATCACAGCTTTTAGAAGACTGCATCATACCTAGCAACGGGGTCAACCACACCTCCTCACTAACTAAAAGTTTCTGTCTCCTCCTTGCTCAGAGTTGCTCTCAGAAACTTCCTGAATCACTCTTAAGCTAAGATTCCTTGCTAGGAATTTTTAGGCTAAGTTAGGAGCTCTCTGAGAGGACTCTGAGAATCTTTGTGAATATGGGCCCAGGTTTCTTTTCAGCACTGTAGCCAGGCTGACTGAGAGTCACAGCTCTGTTGAGCCTTGTATTCCTTTAGCCCTTAGCAGTAATGATTTTATGAGCTTTTTTAATGACAGAATTCTAACTATTAGAGGCAAAATTCATGACCTCCTGTCCTCAGATAGTACCTATCTAACCTCAAACACAGCTGTAAGACCTAATATATATTTAGATTGCTTCTCCCCGATTTCTCCTCAACAATTGACCGCAGTGATTTCTTCATCTAAATCATCAACGTGTCTCTTAGACCCCATCCCAACTAGGCTGCTTAAGGAAGTCTTACCTTTAGTCAACACTCACTTATTAGACATGATCAATATAGCTATTAACAGGCTATGTACCACAGACTTTTAAGGTAGCTGTAATTAAACCTCTCCTAAAAATATCTAATCTTCCCTTTCTTTCAAAGATCCTTGAGAAAGTAGTTGCAGACCAGCTGTGTGATTTTCTCCATGATAATAATTTATTTGAGGAATTTCAGTCAGAATTTAGAGTGAATCATAGCACTGAGACAGCACTAGTCAAAATTACAAATGATCTTCTGATTGCTTCAGACGAAGGACTCGTCTCTGTACTTGTTTTATTAGATCTTAGTGAGGCGTTTGACACAATTGACCATCAAATGCTGCTTCAGAGACTGGAACATTTAATTGGCCTAAAAGGTTCTGCACTAAGCTGGTGTAACCTTTAGGGAGAACTAGCACACAGGTCCTTCAATAAAGAGGCCGCAACAGTCAGTGTGGGCTATAAACATGCCATTTATTTTACAATGGGGGGTGATGAACCAGCCCTGAGGACCACTTCAATCTTCTGCACTGACTGCCGTTTAGTATTTTATCATCATCATCATCAAAAAAAAAAAAAACAACCTAAAATAAGACATGCCCCACACACAGACTGTTTCTCAAATCCTGCCGACAACGCCAAATGTAACCTTTAGGGATAACTAGCACACAGGGGCTTCAATAAAGAGGCCGCTACAGTCAGTGTGGGTCATAAACATGCCATTTATTTTACAATAACTAAAACTTTAAAAACACAGGCAAGAAAGGACAAGAGGACAGACAGTCATACTACAGCTGGGAAACCAACCACTCACTGCTAGGGCACTGGGAGTATACTATGTATTCAAAAGAAATATAAACCCGACACACTTCAGATAGGCAAGGCAAGGCAAGGCAAGGCAAGGCAAG